AAAAGTCCTTGACTGGTGTAAGCAGTGCTGAGCAACAACTACAACATCAGTGTGTTATCAGCCAGTGTGTTATCAACATTATTCTACTACATCCAAAACACAGCACTATGCCAGCTGCTAGGAAGAAAATTAACTCTATCCCAGCTGAAACCAGGACAGTGTGGGTTTTCTTTTTTTAGTTTAATGTAATAACTAGATGGATTTGAATCCTTTGGAACTGTTTCTGATGCAAGATCAATGATTTTTGGTTTTTAATTGCAACTATACTTGTTCCCTGTTTTCTAATAGAAATGAGCAGATGTTAGAGTTCGAGTCAGTTTCAAAACAATACTGCCCTCATCCCTGTAGAGGGAGGGTGTGAAAAATATGTTCATGATACAGGAATGAAAAAAGGAAGCTGCGGATGGTGACTGTATGTGGTGCAGAAACTGCAAGTGGAGCAAATGGTTCATTTTAACAAGAAAGTGAAAACTGGAGAAAATTAGCAACAATTTCAGTTAAACTTCCCTGAAGCAGAGGGTCTGTAGTTTAACTTCTATTTCTGTTAGTAAAATGAGATAATTTTAGTTTGAGTTTTTTCCCTTTTTACTTCTCCCTTCCCCACCCCCAGCAACAACAAAATGTTAATTCTGTGTGTCTGGTTTTGGTTCCAGTTACAAACAAGGCATGACAAAGAGAAGAGAAAGCTATCAATGACAGGTTTTTTTCCGTTTTGGTTTTTTTCAGCCACGAAGTCATCTCTCTCACATAAGTGAGTTAATATTTGTGGAAAGCTGCTTGACTGACAGTAGTACGGATGTATTTAATCTGTGTGATCTAAGGCTGTGTTCATATGCTTGTTGTACTAATGAATTCCCTCTCTCCCATCTAGAAAAGAAAAATATATTGTCTTTCATGAATAAAATTTTACCACAAGGGGGAAGTATCTGCCGATGTTTTTACTCGCCAGTCATAGCTGAGGTTTTAATTGTAGTCAGGGATCTGAACACCCATCTTCTCTTAGCCTGCCCCCAGATCACCTGCGTGCTTAATGTCTGCATTGTTAGTGTTTCTCTTAAAGTCCCTTTTTCCAGGCACATGAATGACCAGGTTGACCTGTCCTTCAGTGTAAAGGCTGGATGAAAGATCAGTACCTGACTTAAGTTTTCCTCTGCTTCACGTGCAGACTTTATAGTCAGTAGCGCTGGAACCTTGCGTGGGGGAGCTGGCCTTGCAGCATGGACTACTGACAAAATTACGCCTTTGCTACTCACTGAGAGGCGTTGCTGAGGAATCCTAAGCTGCTGCGTGGCTTTTGGCTTTCCCCACCAAGCCTGCGAGTCCACCTTGTTTCAGCCCAGATGTCTGAAGCGTCTGCAGCAGTGGAAGTACTTTGCTTGGGAGATGACTTTCAAAAGCCTTCCGCTGCTGGTGAAACAGCTACAGTGTGCGTGCCACACCAGCTGCAGTCACCCTGTGAGCTGGCTTTTCTAACTCGGGGATGGGCTGAAGCAATCACAGACTTCACATTCACCTCTTTGTAGAAGTTGTCCGAGGCTGCAAGAGACCGGCATTCGTGTACTTGAGGAACCTGTCTTATGCTACCGTTACATTTCATAAATGCTCTTCCTTCTGTTGTTCTGGCCTCAGCCATGTCCAGAGGTACAAGATCTAGATCATTTCACTCTAGGAGCATCTTGTGCTTGATCTTTGTAGTCATTGGGTGAGACTTGCTGCTGAAATCAGAGAGAGGTTGATGTGAGGTGGCAGTCACTTCTTCTGTCATCATTACTGTAAATAAATATTTATATCAATAAGAAACAATGGTACAGAGTGGGAAAAAATGAAGGGCGTTGCTCGTGTCTTCCTCCCCCATTGTGCAAGGCAATGGAATGAAGCAGAATTGTCTGAGGCTTTTTTTACAGGGTTTCCAGGTTAAATGGTTTTTGCCAAGTGAATGAAAATTTCTTATATCTCATTAGGCACTAACACATCTGGGGAGAAGGCAAGTGAGTAGGATGGAATGCAAGAGGAGGAAATAAGAGATTTAAAAATCAGGTATAATAGTACACTGGGCAAACAAAGCCTCAGTGATTGATTTATTGTTGATTAGCAAAATGTTGTGCAATTCTAATCACACTTGATCTGTTTCCCAGGAATTAGACCATATGTTTGGAATACAAAACCAGACCCACCACCAAGACTATCAGTATGTTCTTGAAAATGCCTTTAGCACAGACATGTACTCCTCCAGAGAGTTGTTTTCGCTTAACCAAACAGTAGCTAGTTTGATGGTGCAAACTTAATAATTTTATGCAAAAATCTGAGATGCATTTTATTAAGCTTTTCTAAGAAATGGTGGATAGATGTGTGATTCTTTCCCTCTTGTAACTTTCTTTGCAGCGTTTTCCTTGGAGGGGTCTGGAATAAGTTTTGCTGATTTATTCAGGCTCATTGCTTTCTACTGTATTAGCAGGTAAGATGGTGTTACGTTCTGAGTTGCATTTGCTAGACTGTCTTGAAAAAATGAGAGTCTCAAGAGTCTTAGAAGGTAATGGGAGAAATGAGAATTGGAAGCAAGTGTCTCTGTCTTATTTGGTACTGATTATTGGAAGGCTGGTGTTTTGTTACCCACCCAACCGTGAGCTGTTGCCAAGTTAAACTTTACTTTAGCTGGTATCTTGTAATGCTGTCTTAACTGCTCTGTAACTCATTTAATAAGCACCATAAACTATCTTGCAATGTCTGTTTCTCGGAATGGCTAGTAAAAAGCATTTTTGGAGCATAATGGAAAAATGTCAGATCACACTGTAGAATATGACAGCCAAGATATCTGTAAATTGTGAACAACAAAAATGGCCTTATCAGCTTTCTGGTTTATGGTTACTGTCATGGTTCAGCCCCAGCCAGCAGCTCAGCACCACGCAGCCGCTCGCTCACTCCCCCTACCCCGATGGGACGGGGGAGAGAATTGGAGGAGTAAGAGTGAGAAACACTCCTGGGTTGAGATAAGAACAGTTTAATAATTGAAATAAAGTAAAATAGTAATGATAATAATAACAATATAATAATGATAATAACAATAATAATATCCAAAGCAAGTGATGCACAATGCAGTTTGCTCACCACCCACCGACCGATACCCAGACAGTCCCCGAGCAGCGATCGCTGCTCCCCGGCCAACCCCCCCAGTTTCTATACTGCCCATGACGCCGTATGGTATGGAACAGCCCTTTGGGCAGTTGGGATCAACTATTCTGGCTGTGCCCCCTCCCAGTTTCTTGTGCCCCTGGCAGAGCATGGGAAGCTGAAAAGCCCTTGACTGGCATGAGCAGTGCTGAGCAACAACTAAACCATCAGCGTGTTATCAACATTCTTCTCCTACTAAATCCAAACCACAGCACTATGCCTGCGACTAGGAAGAAAATTAACTCTATCCCAACCGACACCAGGACAGTTACTCAACTTGTTTTCCGGAGGAAAAAATAGCTGGTGTTTTTTATCTTTTACGTTGTTTTCAATTTGACTTTAGTTTACTGGTGAAAACTTCCAGACTGGTGCTCAAGCCTTACATTTATCCACAGACAGGACACGGCCAAACTGCACATCTGCACATTTTCTGAAGGAAGGTGGAGAGAGGCAACTTTGATGGTCTTGGTCCTTGTACTGCAAAGAGGTTGCCAATTAGTGCTGACAGTGGTGATTTCTGCTGTGGGAGATGCCCACTAGGGATGCACTTAGGTTGTTTACTGGTTTTGTTTGTGGTGGAGAAGCATCTAGACCCCCTTTGTTACAGGTCTCCATTTTGCCAAGCTGTACATGCACATGATGAAAGAAGCATTTATACTACATAAATAATTGGTCAGCGCTCAGATAAGAAACAAGCTGAAACTGCATTTAAAAGCAGTTTAATGATGAGAGAATCCTTATCTTGTCACCCTTTCAGTTCTGCACAGTAGCCAGGCTCTGGTAAATTCCCTCTTAAGTGCCTACAGGGAGATGCAGCAAATGTAGATTTTTGTTTGTTTGTTTTTTTGTTGTTGTTTCATTAGTTTATCCCTTTTCTTTCACTGAAGGCTCCAAGTTGCTTTGCATTTGCTAAAAGCCAGCCCACAGACACACAGTAGCTTGTTGCTTTGCTCATGAGTCTTATAAGTGAGTCTCTCTCTGCAAAGTGGCTTTAATTTTCTTAATGGTGTTTCAGCCAGCTAAGTGTGAATTTAGTATCCTGATGCAGTTGGGCCTTCCATTCAGGAAGCACGTACAAAATTTCATAAATAGGCTCTTCACCTGTTTATTGTTCTGTTCCTTTTCTTGTTGCCCTTAGGGGAAGGAAGTGACAAGAGTGGCGATCGCAACTGAGACATGGTGTTAAAGCTTTCGTAGTGCATCTTTGTAAACACAAGTTTAGCTGCAAACCCATCCACAGATACCAGTAATAAACACAACTTCAGCTGCAAACCTGTCCAGAGATTTCAGTAAACAAAGCTCAGTCTTTGATTGTGGGTATGCTTTTGGAAGCAGATGCTTATTTCCCAATTCAGTGGAGAAACATCCTAAGTGTTTCCGTTTGCCTCACATTTCTTATGTGGCAGCATCTACCCAGCATCCTTGTCCTCTTCAAGCAGCAGTCTAGGACTGATGGGCGTGCAAGAGGAAAATGTGTAGATTTCTTAGGGAAGCAGATAGGTAGCTATTGTGAGAGAGAATACCATTTGGTACATCACAGCAAAACCAGGACAATTTCCTAAAACCAGAGAGAATTTCTTGCAATAGATACCCAGTCAGTTTGTATGAGTCAAGAGTTACCTGTCTTTATATTGAGTCCTTGATGATGTTCTAGACTCTAGATTATCTGTGGTACAATTTGAAAGTGTCTTCTCAAATACTTTTTAGCTAGCGTATCAGTCTCGTGCATATGCTTGATTTGAATTTGAGTGGTGTTCTGAGATTCTGCTTTTTCAACAAGTTAACATGCAACATAAAGAATATTTATGTGATTACAAACCCACTGTCTGTGCTTCCACAGATGGTTGGCTTATTCACAGCCTTAAAAAAATAAATTATGCTGACACCACTTGTATGTAGGATTCCTGTCCTCCATTTGTTCTCATTTACTCTAAATTACATAGGTACTTGTACTACAGATTTTGCAGTTCAGCATGCACTGTTGTTTTGAGGGTGTTTCGGTACCAACTGGGCAAGAGGTATGGTATTGGTTGATGGTAGTACTAATACAATGTACATGTGGTTAAGTGGTTTTGTCCCTTAAAAATCTGTCTAAAAGCTTTTTTACACTGGATTTGGCTTATGTTGTTGTTCATGCATTCATGCATTTCCCTTTGTAAACAGCCATTGACCTTCTAGTATGCAGTGAAGAGAAACCACATATGAGAATAAATGATAAAGACTTTCTTTAATGAAGTGTGTTTTCAGCCTAGGACAGAGTAGCGCCAAAACATACTAGCTTAGAAATTTTTAGGGTAGCTGCCCAAGTACTCGTTTAAGTCTTTATTTGGAGAACTGGAATTCAACTTGGAGAGCAATCAACAACATATTCAGAAAATAAGAAGCTTCGCTGAAGGGTTAAGGGTAGATAACACTTTTGCATCTCACTGGTATGCTCATAAAAGACCAGGTCTAAGAGCTTCTGCTGCAATGGGAGAAAATACGGGATGGCTCTGTGGAAATGAGTCTAAATAGAGTCCTGGGGACTTGACTGTCATTTGCATTTCACACCACTTTGCAATGTAAAGGAGCCCCAGGGTGGACATGTTTTCACCGTGTGCTGTGTGTTTAAGGCTCTTGCTACCTGCCACAGCTCAAGAAGAAAATAAGAATCAGAGCTCAGCCACTGCCAGTGTTGAAAACAAATGCTTTTGAAACTATGGATGTTGTTGTGACAACCATAATTGGTTTTCTCTTTGACAACAGGGATGTCCTTCCGTTCACCCTGAAATTGCCTCATGCTATTGCTGCAGCAAAGACAGAAGCTCAACTTGAAGAGATTGCTCAGCTTGGACTGAGTAAGTAGTTCTTTAATAGATGTCATTCCCTGTAGCATTGCTGTAAGCTTGAAGACGCAGTCTGTATCAGTAAGTAGTTCATATTCATCAGTGATGATACAGATTTCATTTGGAAAAGCAGCCTCTTTTATTGGGAAGGCCCAACCTTGTACTTGCCAAATGGTGACCTTGGTGCTCTTCCTTCCTTCCGTGCCTTCTGTGATATTTTTGTTAGCGCTGTTTCCTTCCTTCTCATCTCCCCTCTCTGGGCAGCCCTTCAGCAAAGCAAGTCTCAAAATCCCCAGACAGAGGTTGATACAGCTTCTCCTCCAAGGGCTGATGTTGGCTGTGGGCTTACACAGCAGGCGCTAGCTTGATAATTTGCTGGAGTTGCCAGGAGAGTGTAAGAACTGAGGTTCCCTGTTAAGAAAATGTCTTTCAGACTGACGTGTGATCTTAGAATGGTGATTTTTGAGATCAGTGGCTCAGTGCAGTAGCCTATTAATGGAAGGAGGCGCATATACATAGGATCTGCAGAATGTATCCATGCACGTTGGTTTGGTGAGATTTGTAAAATTACAGAAGAAAACGCAAGGACATGTCCTTGCATCGCTTGACTGCCACAACCAAATACAGGCTCGTTGTAAAACGTACCTTGAGCTTGCAGGAGACACAAAGCCTGGTGGGATTTGAAACATGGGCTCCACCCAGATTGAGCAACTCCTGCAAAGAGCTGAACGGCCTCGCTTCCTTTTGCAGGAAGGGAGGGGTGACTGTCAGCAGTCTTTGTCCCAGTAGATTTTTGAATAATCTTTGATTCAGAAATAGCTCCTCAGTAAATCAGAGAGTTAGCGTGAGTCTCTCTAGAACTGTTTGGGACTCTGCAGCAAAGCCAAACACAGGGAAGTATTGCGCTGCTTTGCATTTTGTCTTGCTGCAGTAGTGATGCAATTAAGGGATTTGTTTTAGAGAGGAGACAAATGACTTCTGAACTGCTTATCTGGGAGGTTAGGTAATTTGTTGAAAGTATGGACTTTTGTTGGAATAGAGGCAAACATGGAACTGTTGATTAGGTGAATGTTTGGACAGGAAGGAAAAAAAAAAGACGGGGGGGGGGGGGGGCTGGTTGGGGTAGAGTGTAGTGAAGACAGTCTCCCAGTGACACCTGGAAGCCCTAAAGTAACATTAAGTGAGTTTCTCCATAGGAGATGAGAATGGTGCTGTTGAGCAAGCCCTCCAGACTAACCACGCTGTTTTTGTCCTCGGTACCTGAGAGCATCGTGGCCTACTTGCTGCACAGTTAGTCTTGCTCTTGAACAGTCTCTGTCTGCATTGTGTGTGTTGTTTCTTTAAGCTAATACATTTGAAAGCTGAGGAGGAGACAGACGGATCAGCGTCTAACTCCGTGGTTGATGTATTTGGGATCAATTACCTGCTATACACCAGGTTAAGATCACAGTTTCTGTGAGCAAAAACCAACAACAAAGTTGATGTTTTGATGGAGTTTTAGGTGTCCACGTGCCAAAGAGCACAGCAGAAAGTCAGCCCTCCAACGCTGTGGACCCAAGACATGCCTAAAAAGTCCCAAGGGCCCTTCCTGTTAAGTGCAAGCTTTCCTTAAGCGACATGTAGGCACAAAGCACCCTGGTCTGAACACAGAGGGTTGTAGCTCCTGTCAGAGCTCTGTTACGCTGTAGGCTCAGAGGGAGAACTGCACAAGGCAGGTCAACAGCATGTAGCCCCGCAAACCGCATCAGGAAGAACTGGTGGTCAAGGTTTCAAGGCTGTTGCCAACCTGTAAGGTTTCATGTGCTGAACACAGGATTCCCTCTCTGTCTCTCTTGTGTTTCACCTGCAGCAGCACTTACATCACGTGCGTTTGCAACAGCCCACATGCCAGGCACGCTAACCAGTCTGCTGAGGGACCTGCAGGCAGGATGTGAAGTCATGGAGCAGGAAGAAAATGGCAGCGCTGCATGACTGTGTAGAGAAATATGTCTGTGCCTACAGATGTTCTCTGGCAGTGGCCTATCACCAGGGCCATCTCCTGTCATCTGCCCTGTAGGCAAGACACAGCCATCGGGCATGGACCCTGTTGTGGAGTGCTTGGCATTCATGCAGTTGGGCCCAGGTGTCATTGCTTAACAGCCCCAGTGGGGCATCTTGACACTACAAGAGAAGGGGCCACGTCAAGATTGGCAAATTTTAGCAAAATTTCCCTCCTCTGGTATTCCTCTCTTATTTCAGTCCAATTGCTGTCCTCAAGGGCTTGTCTGGTTTCAATCTTGGTGCTTTCAGGAGCCGATGGGCCTTACCGTTGACTCGGTTTCACAAAGGTGCTGACACTTTGCCAGGACAAGTGCAGAGGCTGCAGCTGAAACTTGCTGGTTTAGTACATGTTTTCCACACTGCTGGTGTGGGACTGCACATTATGTCTGTTTATGTGCTACTGAGCGTCTAAAACCTCAGGCAAACTGTGTCACCATTGCAAAGGCAGGGCTGCAGGCCAGCGCCCTTAAAGACACGCGAGCATTTGGTCTGCATCGCTAAAGATTGTGTGTGCACCCACTGCAGCAAAATGTGAGCTGTCTTGTCATGTGTAGTTTGTTTTGTTCCCTATCAAAAGAAACCAAATCAAAATTTTTGTTGAGTTGCCATAAGTGGCCATCAGCTGGTGTAAATCAGCCTAACTGTTGTCTTTAATGGAGTGAGCTTATTTATATTAGCGGAGAATCTAGGCTTATTTCTCCTGAGTGAGATGCTAGTGAGTAGTTTGTGTTCATTTCAGTCTCAAGTTGGTAAGAATTACTGTGTTATAGTCTCCATTCCTCTCTTTGATTCTCAGTTTATTTTTCAGCTTAGTTCAGTGGGCTGATTTGAAGCTACGCTTTGGTCATGATACTTAAAAATGAGCAGCCCCAGGAGTGTAGCATGCAATTATGTCTGGTGGTGCTTTAAGAGGTTCGCTTGGAATTTTTTTTTCCCCCCCTTGAATTAATAAAAGCTTGTCTAAATTTCTTAATACTTGAAACCGATGACATTAAGCTGAATGTTCTGAAAGCTATCTGCATTCTGTTTTGCATTCTTACGCTAACACAATGATGATTTTCAGACTTTTGGAGCTCCCCAGCTAACAGCAACCCCCCAGATCCTTCACCTCCCCGTAGGCCTGCGCCTTTGGACGGTGCTTGTAAAGACTCGCGTCAGCTCTGCCTTATAAATGGAGTGCATTCTATACGAACCAGAACGCCTTCGGAGCTGGAGTGCAGCCAGACCAACGGAGCGCTGTGTTTCATTAATCCCCTCTTCTTAAAAGTGCACAGCCAGGATGTCAGTGGAAGTCTGAAAAGGCAGAGCCCGAGAGCTCAAGACGTGAATGGCACGGCGAGGCCTCGCTCCCCCCCGCCCCGGCCGCCGCCACCTTCTATTAATAGCATCCTCACGAGTCCGCAGCTTTCCAGGACTATAAAGCAGGCGAGCATGCCAGAAACAGTCAACCATAAGAAAGAGAGAGGCTTGGATTTGCTGCAGAATAAACCAACCCCTATTCCACCTCCTCGGCTGAAGAAGCAGGCTGTTTGCTCAGAGGTGGAAGGCAGCTCGAAGACGGCAGCAGTAATTCGACCTGGCTGCAGCTCGGTGAGCGTGCCCAAAGCTGCCGGCGTTCCAGGTGAAACCCTGCCGGAGCTGGCTCCAGGAGCCGCCAAAAAGACGGTAGCTACCAGCTCTGAGTCACACATACCCTGGAATGGAGGCAGGCAGAGGCTGAGCGACATGAGCATTTCCACCTCCTCGTCTGACTCGCTGGACTTCGATCGGAACATGCCGCTGTTTGGCTATGAGGGGGACACTAACAGCAGCCTGGAGGATTTTGAGGGGGAAAGCGACCAAGAGAGCATGGCACCCCCTCTGAAGCCCAAGAAGAAAAGAAACAGTTCGTTTGTTCTCCCCAAGATTGTGAAATCTCAGCTACGGAAAGTCAGTGGAGTTTTCAGTTCCTTCATGACCCCTGAAAAGAGGATGATTAAGAAAATTGCGGAGATGTCCCAGGACAAACGCACTTATTTTGGATGCCTGGTGCAGGACTATGTCAGCTTTCTCCAGGAAAACAAGGAGTGCCATGTTTCGAGCACTGATATGCTGCAAACGATTCGGCAGTTCATGACCCAAGTCAAGAACTATTTGTCCCAAAGCTCCGAACTTGATCCCCCAATTGAATCGCTGATTCCCGAGGACCAAATAGGTAAGAAACACTGTCCTGTGTTTTGGGGGAAGGTGAAAATGTGTCATCTGTCTTCACAGTGGTGATAGTCTTTGTGCCAGTTTGGAAAGGTGGAGTTGACTTTGCTAGCAGAGTGCGATCCACTGAGTATTTGAGTCTGAAAACAAAACAGCCCCGCACCTCCCCAGCCCCCAATCATCCTAGCAGCTCAGAACTATGCTGCAAAGTTGTTCGTAAAAAGTTATCCTTAAAATAGCTGTATAGCAGTATGGACTTTTTTCCTGCGATTATTACTGGGTTTTTAAATTTTATTTTTTAGCTGCTGTACTCTTAACAATACAGAATCCTTTATTTGCTGGCACACATGTATTTTTTCCCTGAATTGGGCTGAAGTTGTTGCAATGCTTGGGCCAAAACTGTGCCAATTTTAACCATATGGATTGTAGCTGTAAAACGAGAACTTATTCTAAGCCAGTGACAGTTAGGAGCAGAGACACATTTTATAGCAACTTACTTTTGAAATAAATCTTATTCTTCTAAACGTTCTCGTTCACTCCTAGTAAAGCTGCACTTAAAGCTAACTAAAAAGATATACGAGAGCTTTAAAAAACAAGCAAATGTGTGCAAGAGAGAGAAGGGGCTGCTAATCTCAGGATTTCTGTACCTCTCTGTTACGTGTACATGTTTATAAATGGTTGCAGATAAGTTATGTATTTGAATACATGTTTTAAAAACAGAGACAGACTTGTGTATCCGCAAAAGTGAAATCATTGTTGCTGTATAAAATCTCACTGCCCCTCTATCTTGCCGAGTCTGAGCAGTATTTGTAAAAGAGACTATAAGCCGCATTTAGGAGGTAAACATCCCTCAGGGCAGAATACTTTCCTTGTGAGCTCACTTCAGTCCTAATTTGCTTGTTTTTCTCCTGTGCCCCAGTGTCCCAACAGTTGGCTCGATGCAAAATTGGCAGATAGTTATTTCTCTGGGACTGGAGGGAGATTTTATGTTGCCGTTTCTGTCTGTCCTTGACCAAGAGGAAGTATTCTCATGTAACCTCAACTTCATTTACACAAAGTCAAGCAAAAGTAATAAGCACTGCTAAAGCAAATATAACACTGCGAAGGGTGTCCTTGAAATCGAGACTCTTTCAAAGACGTGTAATGTTCTCGCTAGAATAATAAAGAATATTATGTGGGTGTTGTGTGGAAGAAAAAACAGCGAACTGAGCAGTTGCGCAGGAGCATTTTTGCACGGATTTCTGCAGAGAGTACTGGATATTTGACAAAGAAATACAGATCTAGTTTGCTTGTAATTTTGTGAAAGCTTGGTTTGACTTACGCTTTTCATTGTGAGGGTGTGGTTAAATTGGACTGTGGGTGCCTGAAGACTGGCAAAATTCTGTCTGCTTTCAAATGTTTGAGTAGTCTGGAGTAGCGTAAGCTATGAAACGTAGTAAGTAAACTACATTGGTTTTCTTCAGTGACAGAAAGTCTGGCTTTGATCATGTGATTAAATGCAATTAATTTATAAAGCGAGGTAGTTTAAACAAAGGAAGAACTTGCTTTTGAATCATCTACTGCCTATGGCTCGAGCCTGCAGACAACCACAGTGGGTCAGGAGCATCAGATGTTGCTGATCTAAGCAGGTAACTATGTGACAGCAAGATTTAGTCATCCCTATAGAGAACTTTTTATAATGTAGCCCTGCCTATTATCCGTGGTTTTGCTTGACTATTTCAGCACAGAACTGCAGCCCGAATTTTAACTTTGAGTAGTCATTTATCCTCTCTTGTCGCTTTACACTTTTGCGGTGCAGGTTTTTTCTCTCGACATGCCAGCCTACGGCTGGATGTGCGCTGCTGGGAAAATGCTCCTTCCTTCTGTTTGACACGTACTGTCCCGTGGCAGTGGCGAGTCCGTGCCAGAGCTCGGGGCTGCGGCCAGGCCCGGCCACTGCCGCGTCAGA